TCGATTGGCCGTGGCCATTATCAGTCCTGTGCAACCTGACCTGACCTGACCTGAACTGACCGTTTAAACGCACTTTCAAGGTCGACTCAAGCGTGACGGCGGGATCGCCCCAAACCTCGCTAATTTTGAGGTCTAGTTTTTCCTCTCCTTGCCCAAGATGGATGTCGATAAAGCGCGCCAGGATAGGCTAGAAAAGCTTCGTAATATGAGTGATCAGGTCCGCATTGGTGGAAAAGGAACTGCTAGGCGAAAGAAGAAGGTCGTCCACAAAAATGCCGTAGTTGATGACAAAAAGCTGCAGGGAACGCTCAAGAAACTGAACTTGAATACTATCCCCACCATCGAAGAGGTGAGATTTCTATTCTTCAAATAACTTTTGCCTAGGTCAACATGTATAAAGCGGACGGCACTATGATACACTTCAAAAACCCTAAGGTTCAAGCTTCACCTCAGGCAAATGTATTCGCAGTATCCGGTCAGGCGGAGAACAAAGGTATCTTGCTACATTTGTCTTGATGTTTTGGTGTCAGCCTTGTCTGATCTGTTTCCAAGCATGTTGAATCAGCTGGAATCTGCGAAATTGAGGCTTTGCAAAATGAACGGTGAGTATGCTATTGTTGTTGGCTAACAATTTACGGTGGTTCTTCGAGGGAAAATGAAAAGTACTGAAATTAACATCTTACGCCTGCAAGCACATTTCACCGCATCTTTCTAATCATGCTAAGGGATATGCTGGTATATGATATATTCAATCGGCCTTCGGGTATCTACGAAAAGGTCAAACCAAAACCAGGGTACATCTGTCCCAGGTTTATTCTGAACAAGTCGACAAGAAAAGGTCATGCCTAAAAGTATTTCTCTTCGTCTCTCAAGTTGTTTTGCCTTTACGACGTTGGTTTAATAAGCAATGAGTGATCGATTGAATGGACATTCCATTCGGGGTTTTATTGAAACATAAATCCGTAAATGCACTCAGTTTTGGTCGCTCATTTTGTGGTGGGTGACTGAGCCATCAATCTTGCCATAAACATCCGCCTATCGGACAGCGAAGATTATTCGGAACCAGTTGTGTACCCAGCTGTTTTCCAATTGCCATTGACATTAGGCACGTGCAACATGCTGTCGTATCTGGTATTGCGGGTCAGCATTACTACTTTGGGCGTGTTAAAATTCTCTGTTACGATTATATCATTCGGAAGCAGACCGCTTGACTCGTTGCTCAACAGTAAAATGTGTGGCACGGAATTTTGTGCTCCATCACGGATTGTGTGCAGTCACCTTAAACAGATGTCTATGGATGGGCGTAGTGGAAACACTAGGATGTGACACCAAACCTGCAGCAGTAGTGTTTTGTCAAGCCACAATGTTCAGAAGGGCGTCTACTAAAAGGTAGATTGTGTACTCTCCTTGTTAACCATAGAGGTTCACTTCCTCACCATCAATATAGGCCTACCTTACATATTTTCACTCCTTACTAGTTCTGCAGCGCTTGGTGAGTTCGCTTTACGGTGATGCCGTAGGTAAAGTATTACCAAGTTTGATAAAAACCCAGTGGATTTTCTTGAGGAGCGTTCGGCTAAACGTAGCCAAACCCTTTGCCGGCTCGAAGTATGAAAAACCAGCGTTCCATTGGTGGTCGGTGTTCAGTCAATCGTATCTAAAGCCTTGAAGTCATACGTCCTAGATATCTCCTTAGGCGAATGATCTTAATCTGCACCAGCAAGGCATTATTTCTACACCTTCGGATAGTTTGGAAGTGCTTTTGTAGCTCATCTCAGTTATGGAACGGCAATGGAATGCAACTGGTCTGTTGTACGGTGCTGTTTCGTGGCATTTATTATTTTTTACTATCTCTATTTTGACTAGGAATTTCAGTGGTGCTCATTTTTGCAATATAGGCTTCGTTTTTTCATGTATTTAGTTGACCGAAAATCTCTTAAGTTATTTGAGATAGAAATATTGTTTACTCATTGGTTGCATACGATGGGTTGCGCCAATTGTAGTCTCGTTATTTTTATTCATTCTGGACTACCAGTAATGTATCAACTTCAGTAGACTGAAATGTTTCCCGTTTGATTCGCAAGAGACCTTATTCGACGAGCTTGTCGAAACCTACTTCGGTATATGCAGGTATCATACTTTTGTCATGTTACCAACTTCAGTGCGTCGTTTTACTGTACCTACGTTGGTGGACGGCATGAATAGGCTAGCAGCAACCAAAGTCGTCCAACGGTTTTCCAAACTTCAGCGAACCTCAACCCCTTGTATTCTAGCGTATTTTTGGCTTTTATTCGTCTTTGGTAATGCGATTACATCCGCTCCAGGCTAATGCTTTTACAGATAACTTAGTTTATGTTCACCCCATTGCAGTTTTCATAGGGCCATATCCTTTCCACTCGCATCAACAGTGGTGTGCAATGAAAACGACCAGAGAACTGACCAAAGGGACTTAACCACACTGAATCAAAGTCATGCAAAACTAAGGGTAAACCGCCAAGTGATTTTTGCTGGATATCAGGTTTGCTCCCTGACTACCACCAAATTTTAGTGTCAGCCATGCTGTCAATCAGTCCAATATCACATGCCTTGGGAGTACGTTTAAATGCCTCCCCACTGCGAAATCCGGGACAAGTCTTCCGGTGAACAATAGGTTCTCGGTACCAATCAAAATGCAAAACGTTACTACCAGCCTGGTCCTGCACTCAGCCTCACTAACTGGGGCAGTAATAGAGCAGGTGGATAAGTTTTGTTATTTCAGCAGCCACATCTCACCCACTGGACGCATCACAGTTGAACTATCAGCTCGCATGTATAAAGCTCGGTTAGCATTTGCCAACTTGAGACATCTGTGGCGCCGTAGCGACATCCGGCT